GTTTCTTCGTAGTTTTATGGGCCGAAAGAGCGTTAGACTCAAGATTAAAAACCCATGCTTTTTAGGTAGTGGTTATCTCAAAATTAGGAGCCTGATGAATGGCGCGTATTTTGTTCTACACTGGCAAATTTCAAGACATTAGGTATACATTACGAAGAAATTTGGACTCCTAAAAAAGTCCATGTTTAAAATTGCTGGAAATTGCCTCATTGGAGGAAAGGGGTGAACTATTTATGAAGCCCATGCTTGCTTTACGAAATAAAAAGGTTACGCTATGACGTAATTGTTACGTTCGATGAGATAGCTGCCAAAGATATGGTGTTCCTTAACACTACTACTGCGATATGACCTTACCTTGCGTTGTATCATAATTTATTTAACTTACAAACATATCAAAATCGGACATTTCTGAGATTTCGTATACAGATATATCCTTGCCCTTATTCAAAAATGAGTATTTTTTAGCCTCCTAAAACAACATATGAGAGCAATATCCGTCATTTTAAAGCTTACGTTACTTTTGCAGTAATCGTAGATATATCGCGTGCTGTATGAATCGAATTAGACTGAAATAGAGCAATTCTACATTTTTGCTGGACAGCTATGTCAATTAGTTTGAAGCACTGATACTCACGTCTGGAGTCCTTTCTTCTCTTATTTGCCTATCCTATAATTTAGTAAAATTAATTGTTCTACATTAAATTGCACGAGCACATTATTAGCATTAAGGAAAGCGAAGACAAATAATGTAAGTAAAAAGTCCATCTTTAGCAAGTCCTCATTCAAGCTTAGTTACTCTTCTAATGAACAGTTCTTCATATAATGATCACACGATCAAATCCATTAAGTCAACAAAAGTCGCTATTATTTGTTCTACTCGTAAGGATGTACAAGTGGGCGGCGTTTGGAGTTGAGAGGGTGGGGCTTAATCGATATCTTATGACTTTTGGAGTTTTCATACTTGTATTGAATTTTATATCATTGCGTATATTGCACCATATTGTACTTTTGTACTTGTTATTTGCTATTTTGGTATGTCTTTATTCAAAAATATGTATATATGTATGTAGTGTGTATGTGGTTTTTTAGATATTCTGTTAAAGTAATAAAAAATGTTACCTTGCGCTTGTACCTTGATTGGCTGGTCTTCGACAATTGTATAATCTGAAGCTATCAGTATTAATGTTTTTGCCACAAATATTTCTCCAATGGCCGTTAAGAAATTCACTGGATTTCTCCTACTTGCCTTCGGTTTCGGTAATTCTTTTTTCTTCATAACATTTGCTGTCTCTTTTAAAGGAGTGCTGGAAGTGTTGGTTTGTGAACTTTTGGATTGCGTAGCGCTAACAGGTCTCATTAGCCTCGCCGTTTTATCCAAGTCTTCTTCATCAGACAATATCTTTTCAGGACGTGATATTGGTGCAGCATTGTTAATGCTCGGGAAAGTTGGCTTCGCGGTTTTCGTATCAGTTGCTGTAGATGCCGTAGAGCCGCTCTTTTGCGAACTCGTGCTTGATTTCGTGTCTGATTTCGAAGTAAGCCTGCCTTGAGCAGTGTCTGAGACAACGGACATACTTGGCTTTGCCGTGGTTGTTTCTGTCCCTTTAGGTACTGTAGACTTGGTCTTTTGTATATCAAAGTTTGTTTTGACATTTGACTTTGGCTCAGGCTTTTTTGCATCAGCTACAGTGGGCAAGGATGGCATGGCTGATTTCGTTGCTCCTGAAGTTCCAGCAGATTTTACGTCTTTTGAATTTGCACTAAGGCTTTTAGATTTTGGAGACCTTTTCTTCACTAATCTGCAGCATTTACTCGGCAAAGCCTGCTTCGCGATGTTTGCATCATTGTAACGCATTTTTTCGTCGAGGAAGTCGCTTTTGATATGTCTTGGTTTGACTGCATGACCATGCAAATCGTCAGTGACTCTTATTTTTGAATGACATTTCGAGAATTTATTTGCCGAACAAAGGTTGTCTTGAGGCATTACATCTGACATCATCATAAATCCTTCTTCGTCATCTTGATTAACAGGTCTACCGTCAATATCAACAACTTTCTAAAT